TCTCACTGAATTGCTGGATGCCTACTCTTGCTGAGGCTGGCTTTGAACTCATGATCCTCCTGCCTCAGCCTCCCGAGCCACTGGGATTACAGGTGTGCGCCACCGCACTCAGCAGAGAGGACATCTTGCTCTGAGTGGAAGGCCAGAGACAGCACTGCTGGGCCAGGTAGAGGCTTTTTGTTCGGGGCTCTCTGAGGACTGTAGGAATCCTACCATCTCCGACATTTTGCTCACAGGTAATGGGGTCTTCTTGTTGGCGAGATTCCAAGGGGACACCCAGCATGCTAAGAAAGGGCTGGTGTGGGGGTGACCTTTGTGAACGGAACAAAGCCCACTTGTTAGACGTGGGTAGGGCTCAGGCGCTGGGCTCTGGGCCCAGACCCTAAGCGTGAATCCTGGTTCCACTATTTTGGGCTGTTCAACCCCCTTCCCTGAGTCCCATGGTCCTGTCTCTAAAGTTGGTCGATAACTTCACAGCTTTGTCTCGCAAACGAGGAGAGATAATGAATGTCAAATATTAGGTGGAACCACAGGACATCTTCTCTGTTGGACTATTTTGACCTTAAAGCGGCGCTCCATGTGGTCCAACCTGGCAGGTGTGTAGTCAGTGATTATGATGCTGGGGGCTGGGGTGGAGCTCAGTGGTAGAGCACTTGCCCAGCAGGCACGAGGCCCTGGGTTTGATCCCTGAAAGTAAGAAAAATTTAAAATAATTAAAAAATAAATAAAAAAAGAAAGAAATGGCTGATCTGTTTTTTTTTCTGCATCCGTCACCTGGCTGAAGAGATATTTCATTCTGTCACTCAACAGATTTGCTGAGCACTGCCCGGGTGCCAGAAATCGCCAGCAGGAGGGAAAGCAAACATCCTTGGAAAGGTGGGTCTCAGGGGAGCCCCGAGGGGGGCATGCTGGCTGAGGCTGCTGCACAGCCATCTTGGGGTGTGACCAGGACTATGAGGGGGTGAGTCTGAGCTTGCAGAGGGTGAGAACTGAGGCCAGAGCCAGTGTGATCTGATCTCGGCAGACCCTCGTTTCTCAAAGGTCGGGCTGAGCTGGGTATGGTGGTGTGTACCCATCATCCCAGCTACGAGGAGGCTGAGGCAGGAGCGTCTCTTGAGCTGAGGAGTTTGAGGCCGGCCCGGGCCTCGCGGTGAGGACTCCTCTCACAAAGGCAACCAGCGGGCTGATGGGAGCCCCCCGGCTGCAGTGGAAGGATCTGGTGCCTGTGTCCCTCGTTGGGGTTCAGTCCAGCAGAGAAGTTTCTAGAACTATGGCCTCTCCATAGTAGCTACTTGTGTAGGGTGTGGTCACCGGAGCACTTCAATGTGGCGAGTCCCAAGAGAGATTGATGTAAGTATCGTGTGCACACCAGTTTTCAACGATTTATCACAGAAAAAAAAAAAAGAGAGAGAGAATACGAAATTCTCATTAAAAATTTAAAATTTTGATGATATGTCAAAACGATGATAATTTGGATATACTAGGTTAAAGAAAATATATTAATAACACTGATTTTATCTGATTTTAGCTTTTTAAAAAAATTTTTTTAGACGTTGATGGACCTTTATTTTATTTATTTATTTGTATGTGGTGCTGAGAATTCAACTCAGTGCCTCACACGCGCGAGGCAAGCACCCTGCCTCTGAGCCACCACCCCAGCCCCTGATTTTAACCTTTTTAACGTGACTATTAGGGAACTTAAAGTTACGTGGGTGGCTTGCATTATATTTTATTGGAAAGTGCTATTTTTTTTTTTCTTTTTGGTCCCAGCGTATTCTCAGCAGTGCGGAGGTAAGGGAGGGGCCACAATGTGAAAATAGGACCCGGATAAACTTGTTTAACACACCCACATCTTTTGAGGAGTTTCTGGAAGGGGAGGATCAGGGAACTATTTCAGATCAGCCTTGCTGTGACTTGGACCACGTGAATCGGATATAAAAAGGCAGGGGTGGGTGGAGGGATAAACAGAATTGGAAAATGAAAACCAGACCACGATGTGATAAGGGGAATAAATGCTGGTGTTCTGTAGCCCAGTGGGATGGCTGTAGTTTGTAAAAATCAACCCCTGGGGCACTTTACCACTAAGATATATCTCCAGCCCTTTTTTTAAATTTTTTTATTTGACATGGGGTCATGTTAAGTTGCTGAGGCTGTCCTCAAACTTGTGATCCTCCTGCCTCAGTCTCTGGAGCGGCTGGGATTACAGGTGTGCAGCACCATGTC